AAATTTCAAAACTTCATTGTAAGAGTCAGCTACGTATTTGAAGGAAGTTTCTTTTTTATCTTCTTAATTCCAGTTGCTCTGTATTCTTCTCTTTCCTTCAAATATTCTGCTTTGCATTCTTCATAGAAAGCTGGATCATGATAGCTACAAGACAGACACAGACACAATGTTTTTCATCTTGGAAGAGGGAGCAGAGAGTACATAAACAGCATTCAGCTGATCTTTTCCACACCCAAATCTGCTTTCCTTCAACAGTAAAGTTAGTATATTTTTAAGCTCTAAATAATGGGCTGGTCTGCATCCTCTCATAACCTTGCCCCATGTTGAGGCATGGACCTTTTCAAGCCCAGGTAATGGAAAAATGAATAGTAATATAGAGAGAGGAAAATAAATCTGGAATTTCAGTTCAGCTAAATCATACATTATTATTTGCAATAAGCTTCCTCAGCATGTTGATCTGCAGGAGTGCACAGACATTTATGCAACCTAGTAAGTACTATTAACTTCACAGGAACAGGTTCAAGAATATGTCTTGAGCAGGAAGGGCATAGGTCCTTGATTATGAAGTTTAATTAATTTTATTTGCAATTGTTTTAAAGAGCATTCTTTAAGCACTAAGCATTTTTTCAGTACTGTGTATTTAGTTGAGGTAGATTAAAAAAATAGAACAGAAGAAAACAGAGTTGCCTGCAGGTATGAACAAGTAAAACTGAGTACTGCAGCAATTTCTATGCAGTTGGATTTGAAACTTCGGCCTTGCTGCAAGTGTTTTTACATCTACTCCTAAATACCCAAGAATAGTTGTCACTATTTTAAAGGCATTTAAGAGGCTAGAAGACTTATTCCACCAAATCATTCCACTTAATTAACTAAATCCCCAAATCAAACTCACTAGAACCCATTCTCAAACTAAGAAATTCAAGAATTTAACACTTCAGCTGGATAGGGAGCAAAGCAAGACTTCAGAAGAGACCTTTCACGAACCAGCTGAACACCCTACCATCTAACATAACTTTCCCTTGCTGCTGCTTTTGCTTTTTACAACTGCAGGCCCTTTTCAGAATAAATAGTAAATTTTGGAAGATTGTTCTGTAAGGAAAACCAAAAGGAACTTGCACTACCATAGCATAAAGGTACTTCTTCTGCACATCCCCATCACCTCAATTTCATGAAGAAAATAATGTGACCAGCATTCTCTTTTCTAAAGAGAAAGTTTGCTTTTCAGAAACTACTACTCGGTAGGGTTGGTAGGGTGCTACACCAAAATCACAAGGCTTGCAAAACCCATTAGAGAAGGTTCAAGATTTATATTAATTTCTGTATAAGTGTAGGCTAAAAAAAAATACGACAAGAAAAAAAATCAAAAGGGACTTACTAAGAAACCAGACAATCCTTCAGTGCTGTGTTCTCTTTCCGACACTTCACTACCATCAGAAGACCAGTTTCTTTACAGCATTTAGTAAATGCTGGGAAAAAAAAATCTCTAGTTAGAAAAAAATGGCAGTTAGTACAATTCCCACCTGGGTGTATCTTAATCCAGACGAAAAACATTCCTGACCAGATCTATTATTATGAGCATAATCAAAGTTCCCCTCAAGCCTCGTGCTGTTTGTAAGGTCTTTGTCACTTGTTTAGCAACCACATTTTAATTATGATTCGCTCCTCATATCATAACAGCTTCTCACATACGCTGCTGTTGTTAATACAACAGATTTCTGAAGCTACTTTAGCAGCAAACCAGCTGCACAGCTCTGGTGCTTGCTCTCCATACTGACTACACTGGGCTGCCACGGCGAGCCGAGGGGGAGTGCAAAGAGTTGGGTAAGGTGGGGTGCTCAGTGTGAAGTCCTGAAGCACTGAAAGAGAAATACCTGGGAGGGTGGGATGATGACTCATGGTTAAGGGCATATTTTTATCTCTAGGAGTAACCACAATTATGTCTTATGCTTGCCACACTCTGTACAGATATTTTGCTTAGTAATAATGATAAAGAACTAGGTAAGAATTAGCTCTCTATGAGGAGATCTCAAACTGTTTTCTTACAAGCAGCCTATATTGGTAATCAATCATCATCTGCATTTTACGGATGTAGAAAGAAAGGTACAGAGAGAAAAAGGCAATTGGCCAAGGTCAACCAGAAGTCAGGCTAAGAACAAAGTCAGATCTTCTGTGTTCCTGCCTGGAGTTCCCCATTTCTCTTCTTTCTAGGGTTTTCTGATCATTACTTAGTACCAGATAAAGGTAGGAGATATAACAAATTTTATTTTATTGAATATCTTCAGTGAAACTTGGAGTTAATCTATTAACTATCACCAAAACTTAATGATAATTCAGGAACTTAATGATGCTATGAAGTGCAAATCAAGATAGCTATATTCAACTGAGCATGTATTTGCATTGCTATTTA